AGTAAACAGCCATCAGTGTGCTAATGATCCATTGTTAGGCTGATGGTCCTTCTTGAGCATGTGATCAGCTGGTTTTGGTTGTCAGCAGCAAAACTGGTTGATCCACTCTGAGAAGGTGCTATTTAAGAGACTGAGCTGAAAACAGCACCTCAGACTGAGGAAGTCTCTTGGATGAGAGACGAAATGTTTCTATATTTTTTTGCTTTTTTTTTTTTTTAAATGTCCAGAGGACCAGATTGAACTTTTTTGGATTTTTCTACCTGTATTATTGAGCATGCATCAGGATATTTCACTTCAATAATCAGAGATGTAATTATGACAGGAAACAAAAAAAAGAACAGCTTTAAAAACAACGGGCTCTATTCAAGAATAACGTTTATTGTCTTAACTTCGTATTAGGAAGATCCTGTCACAATGTTCACGAGACTAAAATTAAATTCCTTTAGGTAAGGCAGCAATGGAGCAAAATATGCTTTAAGTGCAGGTAAGTATTGATTGTTGAGTGTTTTGGTTACTTTGTATAATGTAAAAGTTGACATTTTCATTTGCCCTTTTTTAATGTTGGTCTCGAGGAACATTACTTGTGATAGTGACATGCACAGTGTAACTGGGTGCCTGAAGGCAGCACCAGTTATTATCCGCCTGGAAAGGCTCTTGCTCTTCCTTCAACGTTAATGCGGTCTGAACCACAACGCGCACCCCTCACAAATTTTACATCAAAACGACCGGCTCAGCGCCGTGATGTGTGCGGTTCCTTTTATTGGTGTTTCAAGTTACCATGGCGATGTCATTTGTAAACAAACACGCCGTTTTTCTCGTTGAAAATCACTGACAGAACTAGCTTCTAACTGCCACAGTGAGGTCACATGACCTAGAGGGAAGAAGTCTGAATAAAACACTGATTAGCATTTGGAGCCATTTTGGTTCAAGATGGCTGCCACAGCAATCTCAGAAAACTCTAAATTGACTAACTCAGTCATTCTTTGAGATATTAAGCTGTAATTGGGTATGGTCGTAGCTGAGAGCGAGTCGTTATATATTCCTAATGCAAATTAAAAATCCAAGATGGTCGCCGTAGCTAAATGGGAAAAAAAAAAAAAAGATAACTCAGCTACTTAGCTGAAACTCGGTGTGGCGTTAGCGGAGAGCGATGCCCAATAAATACTGAATTCAAATAAAAAATTCAAAGATGGCCACCAAAGCTATATTTAAATGGCTTTAACTCAGATATTTCTACATACAGAGCTGAAATGTGGTGGTTTTAGCTGAGAACGTTTCCCATCATGTACTCAATAAATCCAAATAAAAAATCCAAGATGGCCACCATAGCTTAAAAGAAAAAAATGGCTTTAACTCATTGATTTTTTTTTTTTTTTGCCATATTGATCTGAAATTTGTTATGATGGTAGCTGCGAGCAAAGCCCAACACATAGCACTGTCAAATCAAAAATTAAAGATGGCTGCCACGTGGCAGCCCCCATCAAAGTTTCTCCAGGAACTTTCTTCTTTCTGTTACTGTCACAAGCCACTTTTCTTTTTTCTGTTCTCTAGCACACATAAAACTATTATTAGTAAACTGGCTTGAAAAAATAAATATTTTTCATACAACTTGTCTGCACTACAGCAACATGGTGTTTTTGTCGTGGGACACTTCATGGCAGAAATACAACATATTGTAACTTTTTATTTCACGTGTCGCAACATTCCTACTTTGAGACAAACAGTTTAAATCCAAGCACCGAACACGTTTCCATCTGCCTGCTTTTAGCACCGTGGAGCTAAACGAGCCTAGAAGGAAGCAATTAAACAGGAGCTTTGGGCGTTTTTGTTTTTTGTGCCTGCAGCAACATCTTGTCCACAGCTGGATGGGTGGTACGGGTGAGGTGCTGCTAGATGTCGCAACACCCCACAAATTACAGCAATTTGACCTTTAGGTGCATAATTACATTTGAGTTAACGAAGGTAACTCCTGTTCTGAACCATTTTTAGGTGCAGACAATAGTTTTACTAGAGAGCTCGCTCTATATCAAGTCATTTTTATTTCCCACTTCCTTTCGTTTTGCAGCGCAACAAAAATACAAAAAATAAGGTGAAGTATCTGAAATATCATCGTCATGATGCCATACATCGTTTCCTTGTCAAAGCCCAGCAGCTAAACTACCGACAATAAAGCACCGACCACAGACAGGTTGAACGTTTCATTTAAGTTACAGCAGTAGCCAGTACAGTAATTACTCGACTCTTAAACATTTTTTTTAACAAATGCAGTGAAACTCACGACAGATGTGTCAAATCTGTGGATTTTTCCTTCAAACAGAAGATAGAAAAAGCCATTAATAAGCCTTTTCCTATAATAAGCTCAGATTTTTCCTCCATAAATTCCAACACGTTTGCTGAACAAGGCCCTGCAGTGCAAATGACTGTAGGTGGATTAACTCTTCGTGTGCCAGTTTTCACAGCAACAAGGACCGCTCTGAATCGGGTGGTGCCGGGCTGGACCCAGCTATGACCACAGCTATGTGGTTGTTTGTTCAGCCCTCATGCCCGGGGCTAAATACAGAGACGGTGATAGATGTAGGATGGCTACCAGCGCTCTCTCAAATGAAGTCGACGTTGTGAGTTAGAGACTTTCAGATAGTTTGACAGCAGGATGAGTCCTGGTTGAGATGCTTGTTGAACAGTAGAGTGAGATCAGTTCAAACTGGGCAAGTTGACATCAATTTTATGTGGAAAAACTCAAGACAGCAAGTAACTTTCCACAAGATTTTATAAGCATTCTAAAAAGGGAACAGCCTTCTTTCCTTTGATATAAATTATGTTCACTTATTTACAAGCTAACAACCTCACTTTGTGTAGCAATAAATACTTTTTGTGCTGACAAGACATAAATAAAAGTTTCTGAAACAATCTTGTGTGTTCAGTTTCACAGTCAGCACAACCATCTGCGAGAAGAGAACCTGCTCCTCTGAAGACTGACTTTCATTCATGGCTCATTAATTCTTATGAAAACGAAACGCATTAGGAGGCACTTTTCACCAGCTTTTTCAGTTGTTCAACAAAAAGCACAATCTGCTCAGTTGTACAAAGCATTATCTCCGATAGAAATCAAAATAAATACAGAAGGGGTGTTTCAAAAAGGTTGCTTCAGTTTCTAGAAAATACAAATAAAAGTAAACCCGTGTGACAGATGTTTGGTGGATAGAATCACATGCTCTGTCTTTTTTCCTCGGGCAGACTTTTTTCATTTCCATCACTGAAACCAGAAAACAAAGCCACTCTCCACAACCGGATGGGTTGTTTTTTTTTGGAACTGTAGAAATATTTGAATGGGAAAAAAAAAAAAAAAAAGTGCAAATGTATGATTGCTCAAAAGTCTAAAAGAAAGTTTTAGTCCTCTGGTCTGGGGTCATCAACTCCTGAGATACTCCGGTGTGGAGTAATTGAAGAGCATGAAGTCCATGCGATACAAGTTAAACAGTTTCTTCTGATAGAAAGGACTGATGTGCTTGAAGAAGCGTGCTGCCATGTCACCATCAGTCCTGGTGCTTTTGCCAGATGTTGGAAATTGAACTGTTCCTTCCACGCTGGCTAATCTGAGGACAGACTGAGCATCTGGTTCCAGAGTTTCGTACTTCCCCACCACATCATAGTGGATCAGACAGGGATGGCACAGGGAGTGCACCCGCTCCCAGTGCTCATTGAAAGGTTCTTCCCGTTGTGTCCGAGGGTCTACGAGATACTGAACAAACTCGCGGAAAGTGACGTCGTTTCCTTTCTCGAGGGCTTCGGGCTCGGGGTCAGTCCGGTACCGGCGGATGATCTTTGTTCCGTAGCGTTTATGGAAGGCCGTGTTGTAGCTTCGTGTGAATTTATTCCTGTAGGCCGACACGAGGCGTTCAAAGGGCTCACGCACAAAGACGAACTTGAGGTAGCTGCGAAGACGATGGTTTATCTCCGCCACTGAGAACTCAGAGAGCGTGCGGAGGTTACCTGCAACATGAGCCTCATTGGCAGGGATGGCAAGTGGGTCAGTGTAGCGGCCGTCACTGGTCAGAACCATGAACACACGCTTCCAATTGGTGCAGGCGACCTGGAAGATCCAAAATAGAGACAAATGTTAAACCAACAATCCAGAGGAAAGGACACATTTTGAAAAGTATTTACCATCTTTAGTTGGGCAGGTTCTGTAAGGAGGCTGTTTTATGGGAGTTTAATAAAGTTAGGAACACAATCAAATGGATCATTTAACAGAGACTCGAGAAGATAGCCAAATGTGCTTGGTTCAGCCTCACTTGGGTCTACTGCAGATTAACTGTCTGCAGTATTTTAATGCACTGAGCACAGCAAGAAAACACACATACATTAAGATGCATTTACAAGCCAGCCTTAACAAGAACATTCAGTCTCCATGTTGGTCACAAATGGGCTGACTTGCATTTTTTGCACATTTGCTGCGTCTGTAAGCACAATTTAAAGTCCCCTTAAACAATCATTTATTTAAGGTTTTACCAATCTTATGTTATCACTGTGTACGTGACAGTACCTTTAATAATGCAGCTCAAACAGATAAAACCACTAAATTACTCAGTTCACCCACCGAGTCGACCAGGAAGTTTGTTGTATAAAAACTTGCTGTATCATGAACACAATACAAGTATCGCAAGTAATGCAGTAAATCAGAGACCGTTATATTCTGAGTACCATGCATTCACGTTCTACATGCTAACAATGTTTTTCAATGGACTCCCACTGGCCTTGACACTAGGAATGCACGATATATGCGGTACACGGTAAAAACGATAGACATTTAGTCTATGATAGATCTGTCTTCTACCGGCTTACTGCAGTAATGCTGTGTCTGATGTCAAATCAGACTTGTCAGATTTAACTATTTTTTTGAGTTGAAAACTGTAAACGGTGTTAAAGTCTGTTTTCTTTGAGAGCTAAGTAGCAAAGCTACAAGCTAACTACGGTCGGCTTGCCGTATTTGGACGCACAAAACACTGTGTTCTGTTGAAAGTTAAAGTAAGTGTTGGTCAGCTTTAGAGAGTTAAAGTAAGTGTTGGTCAGCTTTAGAGAGTTAAAGTAAGTGTTG